CTCACCTGGGCTAGAGTGCCCTGGCGTCAGCCTAGCTCACAGCAACCTCAAACTCCTGGGCTCAAGCGATCCTCCTGCCTCAGCCTCCCGAGTAGTTAGGACTACAGGCATGCGCCACCATGCCCAGCTAGTTTTTTCTATATATTTTTAGTTGCCCAATTAATTTCTTTCTAATTTTAGTAGAGACGGGGTCTTGCTCTTGCTCAGGCTGGTTTCGAACTCCTAAGCTCAAACAATCCGCCCGCCTCAGCCTCCCAGAGAGCTAGGATTACAGGCGTGAGCCACCACACCTGGCCCCAAGCTGGTCTTGAACTTTAGGACTCAAGTGATCCTCCGCTTTAGCCTCCCAAAGTGCTGGGACTACAGGTGTGAGCCACAGCGCCCAGCCTATGTTTGACTATTTTGTCTTTCACCTTTCAGTTTCAAACTCTAGTCGGGAAAATGGGGGGCAGGGCGCGGTGGCTCACGCCTGCAATCCTAGCACTCTGGGAGGCCAGGGCGGGAGGATCATTTGAGCTCAGGAGTTCAAGACCAGCCTGAGCAAGAGCGAGACCCGGTCTCTACTAAAAATAGAAAAAAATTAGCCAGGCACTGGTAGCACATGCCTGTAGTCTCAGCTACTCATGAGGCTGAGGCAGGAGGATCGCTTGAGCCCAGGAGTTTGAGGTTGCTGTGAGCTAGGCTGATGCCATGGCACTCTAGCCCAAGAGACAGAGCAAGATTCTGTCTCTAAAAAAAAAAGAAAAGAAAATGGGTGGTTGCCTTATATTCAGGGCCACATTGTTACACTGAGCTTCTACAGAAACTCCTGCTCCACCTTCTGGCCTCAGCTCCCAGAAGAGACCCTCGGCCCAGACACGCCCTCGTGTCCCCACGTACACACCCACAGAGCCCTGTAGGTGTGACCTTATATTTGGCTCTGCCTTTCTGGTTTTTTTAAACGAATATTTCTCTCCCGCTACACTGTGGGCTTGAAGAGGGGAGGGACTGGGTCTATTTTTGTTCACCTTTTATCCTTCGCACAGTCCCTGGCACACGCGTGCATTGGTTCATTCACTCTTTAGTGGACCCTTAACATGCGCTGCAGATAGAGCTCGAACACTTCAGACAGGGACCCAGTGCTCGTAGAGCGCAGCCCGCGCTGTGCGCTGCACAGTGTACAGGCACAGTCCCTATAAAGCAGGCGCCGGGCGAGGTGGTACACGCGCCTGCAGTGCCCGCTACTTGGGAGGCTGGGGTGGAAGGATCACTTGAGCCCAGGAGTCCAAGGCTGCAGTGAGCTATGATCACGCCTGTGAACAGCCACTGCATTCCAGCCTGGACAACATAGCGAGACCCCGTCTCAAAGAATAAAGAAATAAACACAAAATAAGCAAAATAAAATAGGAAGTAGGGATGAGGCTGAAGAGCAAGAGGAGCTATTTAAGTCGGGGTGGGCAGGGGGCGGTCAGGAAGTGTTTGTGAAATGGGTGCACCATGGCCCTGAGGTTTGTTCCCTACTGGTCAGAGACCCCAGCGGCATCTGGCCACAGTCGAAAGGCACATGCAAAAGCCCTTCATGAGCCCTGTGCAGTACCCACCACACCACCCATTGGGCACTACTGTCCCTCTTCTGCAGCAAGCACATGGGTGACCCTAGAGACCAGGTGTCTTGATCAAGACCACCCAGAGACAAGGCTTGAACCCAGCGTCAGGGGAGACCAGACCTCTCCCCCTTGGCCTTCCCAGGCTGTGCTGAGGGGCTTCAGGCAGGGTCTTTGGACCCCCTAATGCTGTTGTCCTCCCAGGAGGCCCTGCTGGCTATGGCCTGGTGACCCAGGGCCCCCACTCCTTGTCCCTAACACTGGGGCCACTGTCCTGAGCCTCACCTGGGACAGCCCTGTCTGGGCATCCAGGATACTCAGGAGGCTGTGGGGCTGGTCTGCCAAGAGGTCCAGGCAGGACGCCCTTGGAGGCTGAGGGACGGGCACCCACGACAGCAGCTCCCGCTGACACTCCTCCTGGGAACAGCCAGCATTTGGTCATTTACAGAGCCTGTCCACGTCTGTGGGGGCCTCACCAAGCTGGAGCAGGGATGACCCTCCCATCTCACGGGTGAGCAAACTGAGGTGTCTCGGGAGGACTGAGACACCCCGCAGCAAGGGGCCGCAGGGCGGGGCTCTCGGCTCACTACCCTTCTTTGCGCAGGTGGCCTCTGCCCTGCAGTGCCGCCGTCATACCTCCTCCTGCGCCAGCAGCATCCGGCTGCAGAAGAGCTGCAGGCGTTCGCTGGCGAGGTTGTTGCACAGTTGCTCCAGGCCGTTCACCCGCAGTGCCTGGGAGCAGGTGGCAGTGAGGTGGGCACGCAGGCCCGTGCCCTTCGCCCCCTTCCCCGAGGGCTGCCCCCATTCTGTCCAGGTGCAGGGAGGAGTGGTGCTCAGGGCAGATGCTGCCACCACAGGGTCAAGTCCAAAGGCCCTGGCTCAGCATGCGAGTAGCCTCAGCCCTGCCCGGCCACACGGCAGGCGTCCCTCTAGCCCCCCATGCCCCTGCCCTCTGCTGTAGCACTACTGTGAGTCTCCGGGCCTCTGGTCACGCTTTGCTGGGGTCTGGAGGGCACCTCTTCCCACTACGTAGCTTGCTGGCATCAGATGCCACATCATACGCAGAGTCCAGGCTGCTGCCTCCAAGAAGCTTCCAGCATCCTCTGTGCTGCCTCAGCACTCTGCTAGAGAGCCCGGCAGAGCCCGCGCTTCACACAGCTTCGTGTACCCTCCGAAACACACACACACACACACACACACACACACACACACACACGAGAGCGTGCACGCACGGCACCACGGTCGCTGCCCTCCTCAGGGAGCCAGTGGTCACCAAGGACACACTATGCAGAGCAGGACAGAGCAGGGGGCGGTGAACAGTGCCTATCCAGGGACCAAGGGCAGGGGCCACCTCCTCTCCTGCCAGCCCCCACCTGGCTGCCCTGAGGGGCTAGATCTTCTAGAAAGGGGTGCAGAGCTTGTGACAACTCAGAGCTATTTGGGGGACTCCCCTCTTCCCTCCGCTCTTGGCTTATGGGAGGGGAGGCTGCAGGTGGGCCCATCCTGGGGCTCCACTGCCTTTGGAGCTCCTGTGAGTCCCTGCAAGGCCAAGCAGCACAGGACTCTCCAAAGGCAATGCCAGGATTGGACAGAGCAGAGCAGAATGGCTGCACCTACGGAGCACGCAGCTCTCTCAGGGGCCATCTCCCTCAAGCCTTTGCAATCCACGAGGTGGGTCCTGTTATGATTTTTACTTTACAGATGGGAACGCTAGAGCTCAGAGAGGATGATTAACTCGCCTGAGGTCACACAGCTAGTAAGTGGTAGGACTGCACCAGAGCCCTGCTCTCACCTGCTGTGCTAAGCAATGCCTCCCAGCGGGAGGACAGCTGGGGCTGGTGCTGGGGCTTGAAGTGTGCTCCGGCCCCTCCCAGAGAGATACCAGGAGGGCTCACAGCCCAGGCTAGGCCAGAGGAGGAAGCGGAGGCCATGCAAAGGAACAAGGCAAGTGGCAAGAACCTCGAAGCAATGTGTGGCTGGAGGGGAGTGGACGTGAGAATCCCGGAGTTCTCCGCCAGCCTCACTCCTCAACTGGACGCTACACCCCCAGCGGGGCCCTTGCCCCCTAGTGCTGAGTCAGCAGTCGCCCAGCAGATGCAGGAGCCACAGAAGGCACAGTGCCAGCCAGGCAAGCACTTCACGAGAGACCCCCCGCCAGGGAGAGCTGGAGCAGCAGGGTCCCCAGGAATGCACGAGAAAGGCACCCCCCTCCGTCCTGGGCCCCACCCCAAGTGGTGACCTCAAAGCCAAAGGCATCCACGACAGTGACGGTGCCCACGCTGCCTCCCTCCCCAGGGGGTGCCAGCCGTGCGTTGATCCTCGTCAGAAGCCAGTTGAAGAGTCGTGAGTACAGGGCCTTGGCCAGGGCATCCCTGTAGGCACAGGGAGTGAGCCACGCGGAGCGGAGCGCCAGGCCCGGCTCTGGCTCTCTCCCATCCCCAGGGCCACCTGGCATCGATGGCGCTTTCCACAGGCAGGGATCGTGAGACCCGACCATAGGGCGTCTCCTGGAGGGCAGAGGAGGCACATGTGGTGCGTCAGGCCTGTGGCCCTCCACAGGGGCCAGCTTGGGCCCCTGCCCAGGAACCCCGGACTCACCACGATCCTCCGGGTGACAGCCCCCTCCAGGCGCTCTGGTGGCACCTGCAGCAGCCGGGCTGCCGTGTGGATCTCGGCCCAGCTGGACACAGCAGCCACTTCCTGGGACTCGCGCTAGACAGAGAAGGGAGGGACAGGGACAGCTCTGCTTGAGCAATGGACACATCCCCCTGGGCAGGAGCAGGGCCTTGCTTTGCCCAGAAAGCTGCCCTGTCACCCAAAGGGACGACACAGCACATGGAGAGATCTGGGCTGCTATGAACCAGGCCGTGGGTCTGAGGGCCCTGGTGCGAGTCCTGACCATCTGGCCCTTTCAGGCCCTTTCCCCTCCGAGCCCCCACTGCCTGTTAAGGGGGAAACAGTAACCCTTATGTCACGGTGTCCTCATGAAAGCTAAATTAGAAAACAAATGTAAAGTGATTTACACAGTACTGGGCACATAATAGCTGCCTGTTTAATGCCAGGTGTTCTTCCTAGGGTGACAGCTTAGTGGCAGAGTCACTGGGAGAGATGCAGACTCTCCAGGCCTCAGTTTTCTCGACTGTACAATGGGGGTCTGCCTGCTCCCCAGGACAGCCAGGGCTTTGTAGTCCCCTATACACAAACGCTTGGCGCCATCATCACTGCCCTGATTATACAAAGAAGCCTCCCCTGACCCTGTGCCCCCACTGGCCCCTGCCCACGGGGGAGCCCACCTCTGAAGAGGAGAAGCAGATGTTGCCCAGCTGCAGGATGGTGGCCAGCACGGCCCAGACCGTGGTCAACTCCTCGGGGCACAAGCCCAGCACCTGCAGGGCCTTGGTCAGCCCTGTGAAATCCCGGGCATCCTCCTTGCCCTGGAGCCTGCAGGCCTGGCCCTGCGGGGCACAGCGAGGCTGGGAGCAGGGCCCAACCACCTCGCAGCCTCCCTCTACTCCGCTCCTCCCCAGACCCAGGGCAGAGACCCTCCTCTGGGCAGGCCCTCTCCCTGGCACCACGAGGGCTGCCCTCACCTGGTTGAGGTAGTAGTAGGTCTCTGGTCCCTGCAAGGAGAGCTGCTCCAGCTCCACGGGCTCCAGCCCCGCCAGTAGCTCGTAAAACACATGGAAGCTCCGCTCAGCCTGGGCCTTCGGGAGGAGGACTGGCTTAGGGCACACCAGCCTGGGACTTAGCGGTGTACAGTGGTCCCCTCTGTCTTTCCCACCCTAGGAGCTGGGAAGGGGTGGGCAGCAGGGTGTCCCTTACCTGAAACACTACCCTTGAGGTCTCAAGCAGATAATGTGACACAGAGGCTCCCACGATGACCCCACTGTGGGCAAAGGAGACAGAGGGTGCTGTGGGCCCCACCAGGGGCTAGACCCAAGGGCAGTAGCCTCAGGTTCCCAGTAAGGGTCACTGATCACGGGTGCCCCCTGCGCCCAGCTGGACCCCTGTCACTCACTGCTGCAGGCAGAGGCATAAGACCTGGCCGAAGCGGCTGGCGTTGGCGTTGAGGACGGTCTTGGCGTGGCCAAAGCTGCTGAGTATGCGCAGCACGTCGTCCAGCTGCATGGGGTGGGGAAGGTTCAAGTGTCCCTAGGACAGCAGTGCTATCACCACCAGGCACCCCAGCTGAGGGTACCCCACACCTCTGCTGGCTGGGCCGGGCCCCCGGGGGAGTTGGTCCCATCAAAAGAGGCAATGTCTGGGGCTAACCCCACAAGATGCCAGAGGCCTGAAAAGTAGCCTCTTTCTCCTGGCCAAAGGACAAAGAGGGTCCCTCTTGGATCCCAGGGTGGAAAATGGCCAGCTGCCCCCCAGAGGGAGACAGGCAGCCAGCTCGGTCCATGAGCCTCCAGCCTGGCCCTCACCTGACACCCTCTGTCCCTCGTCTGCTCCTGTTCCAGACTGCTTAGGAACTGAACAACCTTTTTGGTGGCTTCTGTCTTCCCTGAGCCGCTGTGCCCACTGCAGGAGGGAGGAGCTAAGGATGGGGGTGGAGGGTGGTAGGGTCTCCAGAAGGGACATGCAGGACCACTCCATTGAACCTGGGAGGCGGGGATGTGCTACCTGGAAGTGACACCTGGAAGGAGACCCTACACTGGGGGAGACCCCTGGAAATGCAGACAGACCCAGGGCATGGAGACCAAACAAAAAATTGCCCAAGATGCCGTGTTCCAGGGGCACATGTGAAGACTTCAGGCAGGAGCATGGCACTAATGAAGTCCAGAGCTGCGGCCCAGCCATGGACCAGACGAGCAGGTTCAAGTACAGACCTCATGCCCCAACCCACCAGCCTTCAGCCAAGCAGGGCAGCCACGACTCACCCCAGGAGAATGCAGGGGTCCTGCCCAGCGCTCTGAGACAGGCTGTAGGCTGATGCCACGACAGCAAAGATGTGCCTGGGTGAGGAGGGCAGGGGGAGATGATAATGTTGCTAGAGATGAGCACCTGGGGCCCTCTTAGGTGTAGCAGGACATGCCCATAGGCCCCAGGGCCTCAGTCAATGGCACACGCTGGGGCCTGGCCGCCTGGGAGGCGAGCAGAGACTCAGTGGGGCAAAGGCACGTACGGGGTGGTGTTGGGGGCCTTCCTGGGGTGGTAGCTGGCCAGGATCTCAGGTGAGAAGAGAGGCAGGGGCTGGTGGGGGTTCAGAGAGAGCAGAAGGGGCCCCCCAAAGGTCTGGGCAAGAAAGCAGAAGCTCTCATCAGAGTGTGGAGGGAGCAGGGGCTCCAAGGCACCCCAGGGCAGCCCTCCAGCCCCCTGAGAAGGTCCCAGAGAGGGTTCACCACCCAGCCCCGAGAGGAAGAGGAAGGGGAAGCTCCAGGGGTGCTGGGGAGCCCTGTGTCTCCAGGGGAAAGGGAATCCCAGCCCACCAGCCCCTCCCTGCAGCCCCCCATACGTAGATGCGGCCCAGGTGAAACCTCTTCTTGAGGCACAGCAGCACGGAGCTGTCACACACGAGCCTGTGGGGACAGCAGGGAGGAGGGGGAGGAGTTGGGTGAGGAGGAGGCTGGGGGTTAGCTCTGCCACCAACCTCCCAGAGCATTAGCCATACAAGGGGGACTGGGCTGTTAAGGACAAGCAGGGCCAGGCACTGTCCCAGAAGGAAGCCTGGTGCCGACTGTGCTGGGGAAGTGCACGCGACTTGCCCCTCTCCTGCCCCTTCCAGCCAGGCGGCCTCTCCTGGGGCAACACTGGGTCTATACAATCTGTAAAGATGAGGCAGGGTGGGCTGCGCGGAACCGCGAGCCAGCGATGGCAGATGCGGAAGGGCGCCAGCTCACCGCAGCCGGGCCAGGTCCTCAGTGTCCTCCAGGCCGTCTCCGAGGCCCCTGCCCTCCGCACCGAGGAAAGGCAGCGCCTCCAGGCCGGGGCCGAGGCTCAGCTCCAGGTCCCTCTCCAGCGCCGCCTCGGCCTCGTCCTCGAGCTCCCACCGCTCCCTCAGGGACCCTCCCGGTCCCGGCGTCCTCTCCCGCTGCAGGCGGGTCTCCAAGGCGAGTTGGGGCAGCAGCACGACCGTGCCAAGCCCAGGTACCTCGCGGGGGCCCGAACCCTGCGCCCAGTGCACCGGGGTCTCCGCTGCCAGGGGCTCCGGCTCCGCTTCACTGCTGGAGCCGCTCTCGTCGAGTGGGGGCCCGTCGGGGGCAGTCGGGGCGAGGACGGAGGCACGGCCGGGCCCGGCCACCCTTTCCCCACTCGCTCTGCGTCCCTCACTGTCACCCCCGGCCCCTGCAAGAGGCCAAACGCGGCCCTCCCCTGTGGGAGCGTCCGCGGACACTTCTCCAGAGCTCCGGCTGCTCGACGCCCTCCCCGCCCTGTGGATCCTGGGGAACACGACCGCGAACTTGGGATCTGGACTCTGGTCCTCCTGGTCCGAAGGGTCATCGGGGACCGGGCTCTTCGGGGCCTGCGGGGGGCTCGAGCCGCCGCCAGGGGGAGCCTTGGGCTGTCCCCCGAGCCCTGCTACGCCCGCCAGGCGCAACGCTAGGCGGCGCCGCAGTCGCGGCCCGAGGCCCCGCCCCTCGCCAGCCGGCGGCCCCGCCCCCTGCCCCTCGGCGTTCCGCGGCGGGAGCCGCAGCCGCAGCCGCAGCCACCGCAGGAGGCCCAGTGCCCGCACCACGCGCAGGAGCCGCTCCTTGAGACTGGCGCGGCGGGGACCCGCGGCCTGGGGAGCGGGGCCCGGCGGGGGCCTCTCGCGGAGCCTGCGCACCACCACGAGGGCGGCCGTGGGCGCTGGGTCCCCCGGCTCGTCCTCCCCTGCGGCTTCGCGCTCGCCAGCATCCACTTGCACCTTCCCCACCACGTTTCCGACCCGGCGGCGCAGAGCCCGAGCCGTCGAAGCCTCGGCTGTTTCAGGCTCGACGCCCCGCTGCGCTCCTGTGTCACCCGCGTTCCAGGCCGGTCCGGTGTCCCGAGGAGCCCGCGAGCTCCCGCGGACGCGCGCACAGCTGCCCTCCGGAGGCCTGGGGACCGTGGCTTTTCCGCCGGGCTCAGCCTTTTGGGCCTCAGGGGCCTGGCTCGGCGTTCCCGGGGCTGCACGTGGGCCCCTTCTAGGCCCGGCCCCTCGCAGACTCAAGTCCGTGTCTGTCCCGGAATCCGCACTCACTCTCTGGGGCCCTGTCCCCGACGACCCCTCCTGGCTCCAGGGCTCAGCCGGAGGCTCGTCGCTGCTCAGGCCGTCGGTGCTCGGGAGCTCGCATGGCTCTGGCGCTGACTCCAGCCCCACGTTGGTCCATTCTGAGCCCGTGTCCATTGGCTCCGTCTGGGGCCGCAGTTCCGGGGCCCCGCCATTCTGGCCGCTGCTTTCCTGGACCTCGCGGGCTTCGCTGTCCGGGCAGGAGCTGCCTCCGTCGCCGCCCGACGTGTCCCCATCGAGACTCTGGGTCGCTTGGTGGCCCCGCCGAGCCGAGGGTCCCCGCCCTTTTCCTCTCTTCCTGCGATGGCCGTGCTCGCCCGTCCGCTCCTCTAATTGGGGGAGGCTCCCCTGCTCCAGGCGCCCCCCACAGCTGTCCCCAGGCTCATGGCTCTCCTTGGTCCCGCGTCCCTGCCGCGCGCTGCCTTCCCTCTCCTGGACCTCCTGTGGCGGCTCAGCCCTCGGCCTTCCGCTCCGGCTGTCCCTCTCTGCGGTGGGCTTCATGCGACCCCCGGTGGTGGCGGGCTGCGTGGCCTGTCTCACCCTGCGGGCCTTGTCGCGGCCCGGCCGGCGTTCCCGGCTGGGCTCGCCATCCGCGCTGGCCGACCCAGACTCCTGCTCCCCCGAGGCTGGCGTCCCGGGCCTCGCTGGGCGCGGGGGCGCTTTCCCCTTGTTCCGGCCCATGACCGGACCAGAGAAGTGTGGCTTCCCGACGCTCCGGTCCTCTCCTCTTCCCGGGGATCTGGCTGCCCGCGGGTGCCCTCGGCCTTCTGTGCAGTGCGCCACCCGGGCTCTGCTCTGGCGGGGGCTACAGGCTCAGTTTCCCCTGCACCCCCGGGGCTCGCGCCTTACGCGCCGCATCAATAATGCAGGAGGCAGTGGGTCCTGACCATTCAGCCAACAATGGACGGGAGGCTGCCCAGGAAACAGGAGACGCTGCAGCTGCGGAGAAAGGCCCTGGACAGGGGACAGGGCAGCAAGGCTGCCCGGGAGTCGCTGCCAGCCAGGCCAGCCTGGCACCGCGCCAGACTGGGGGCAGGGCCGCGCTCTGCTCTCACCCCAGTGTTTGTCCAGCGGGGGACGGCAGAGCGAACCTGTCTGGGGCTGTTCCATCGTCCTGGGGGCTCCAGGAGGCTGGGACCCCGCCCGCCCTGGCACAGAGCAGCACTCCGTGACTTTTGTCAGTTCTTTTTTTTAATTCTTAAATGTAATTTAAGTACATAAAACATAAATGGACACCTTGAACTGGTGTAAAACAAATGCCTGTGTACCCCCCTGGAGTCATGGAATAGAACCACACTCCATAAATCCCCAATTGCCCAATGCGTGTGTTTTTAAAATATTTTTTGAACAGGTAATACATTCACACAATTCAAAATTCGTAAAGTAAAAGTCTCCCATTCCTGACTGTCAATTGCTCAATTTTCCCTGAGGCTACCCTTTTCTGTATTTCCTTCCGGAGCTGTCCTTGCAGAGAAAAGCAAATATTGTTTTATTTTTCTCTTTAGCACAAATGGAAGCATATTTGCTCAGGTGTCTTCCCCCCCTCCCCACATTTTAACTTGGTGATTTAAGTTTAATTATTATTATTTTTTTAGGGACAATCTCCCTCTGTTGCCTAGGCTGGAATGCAGTGGCACGGTCGCAGCTCACTGAAGCTTCGATAATAATAGAATAATAATACTGCAAAGAGCGTCCCTTTCTTTCCTTACACTGGAGCTCCAGTGCTCTTCCTCCTCCCTCATCATATTCCAGCAAATGAAGGCACCATAGTGCAACCAATTCCTTACTGATAAGTGTTTCCATCCACAGTGGATGCTGCCTTCATCTCATCTTTTCTTAGAGTACAAACACTAGAATATTTCACCTGTGTCCAAGTAGAATCAACTCCTAGAAGGAGAATTGCTGAACCACAGGGCACGTGCATTTGTAATTTTGAGATGTCCAAGTTCATCTCCATGGGAGTTGTTCCAGTTTACGCTCCCACCAATAAGATAGGAGACCGCCGTTCCCACATAGTGTTCGTGCTCAGTGTTACCCAACATTTTTGACACTTTGAAACATGCCAAATAAAATCTCAGTGCCTTGTTAAGTTCATTTCTCTGTGAAAATAAGCAGTTCCCCCCTCTTAGAACCACTGTGTTTCCTTTTCTGAGACCTGTCTTTTCTCATCCTTACCCACATTTCTGTTGGAGGGGAGCGGGGCTGCTCCTTGGTGGTTAGACTGTAGTTAAACCCAGGCGTGATGTGGGAGGCCACCTGAGGGCCCCCAGATTGAGGCAGCTGCTGCCGGGCAGGCTTGGGGGCACCAAGATGGAGCCGGATGAGCCACCAGAACCTGTGACCTGCCCCATAGGGACTCCTGTGCCCTGCACCCCCCTGACAATCATTTTTTTTTTTTTTTTTGAGACATAGTCTCACTTTGTTGCCCGGGCTAGAGTGCCGTGGCATCA